TAAACCTTATGGGGGAAATTTACCTCGGGGTGCAACCAAATTCGGAGGGCGGATTAGCCGCATTTACATTGAACCTTATGGGGAAATTTGCCTCAAGTTGCAACCAACTCGAGTTGCAACCAGAGTCGCGGAACGGATTAAGTTCGTAACTAGAGGTACCACTGTATATTCAAAGTTTGCAAATCTTAAGTTGCCTTAACTGAATTAGCAGTTCCTTTACTTCAGTAACATACTAATAACTACATATTTGCAGTCAAAAATATTTTTTTTTACTGGAATGCTTTTATGGAACAATCATAAGCAATAATACCAAGAACATAGAACGTTAGGATCCTTTAAATACAGAATGTTGGCTTGCAAACCCATATTTTGGGCATATTTCCCCCTATAAGAAAGTCATCTTTGCAGTTATTCAGTTGAAGAATTAATGTCTTTTTTAAACAGTGATATAGACTATACACTTCCTTCTTCCCTCTGTTATTCTTTCCTCCACTACTTTACCAATAGCCGTAGGAAATTATTTAAATTATAAATAACATTATCAGTTTGCAATATATATATATATATATACACACATATATAAATTTTAAAAAAAAACAAGATGAAATTCTGACAAGTATCTGATTCCATATAGGTCTCCTTCAAAAGAGCAACAATGAGGTTTTGGATCTGATATTGACAGTATAGTTAATTCTTGACTGAAAGTCATATGTTTGCCAGGTCCTCTGGATACTCTTAGTAGAACTGGGCACGTGCCTCCCTTGGGGGTGGGGGTGGGATGCACTTCAAAGCTACATACATAATACATTCCACTGAAATCACACAGCTGCTTGCTTTGCTGTTATCCTGCAGTGGTGTCCACAAGGATGTTCATCAGCAAGTCAAGTGTGTCTGAGGATGATGGGAACTGCACAAGACAGAAAAGCACCATCTTTAAATGACTCAAAAATAATAATCAACTAACTAGCTTCAACCCTAAAAAACCTGTCTCTTCTAGTCACTGGAAGTCATCCTTGCAGTTATTGGATTTGCAAATAACTAAATAGGTTAACATAATATAACATAAATAATAAATTATGGTTTATAAAGTATTATGGCTAAATTTGCCAAATATATGAAACCCCAGGTAAGCAAACTACATAAACCCAGTTAATCTTGAAAAGTGTTTAATTCTGCTAAATGGTTCCCATTTATTTTTAAATCAGTCACAATTCACATCTAAAAGTTACTGCACTGAGTATCCCAAATATTCTAGCATGAAGAGTGTATCCTCATTAAAGGGAATGATCTGGTGCAAACTCTACACCAATGGCTAAACAACAGAATGAGCTGGACATCAAAGTAGAAAGACTGAAGGAATTGGGCAGGTTTTCTTTTTTACCAATCAAGAGTGTCACCAAGCTATTTCAAAGCACCATCACAAATGCAGAACATTAATTTACTTATTTTATGGGATTTAGAAGAATATCAGAAAGGAATACGCACCAATAATTACTAGCAAGACAACAACAGCAACCAAAGCCACAATTGCCTTCATCTGCAAATTAAAACACAAAGGAAAATATGTAATTATTTCTCAACTGTTGACACAAATGATCAACTTAATCCAGGTTCAACAGCATGCTAATAATGAGTGTATTCTGATAATTCAAAGTGGCTACACATTTTCAAAATAACCTATCCTAACCTAATTACAGGGATCACAATCATGCTAAGCCAGAATGTGGGTACAAGTTATCCCTGTTCGGTGACCATTCAAAGTTATGATGGCGCTGAATGAGAGGACTTACAACCGTTCCTCATAGTTGTGGCCTTCACAGCATCTCCACAGTCACATGATTGTGATTTGTGTGCTTGGTAATCGGCTCACGATTACAATGGTCGCAGCGTCCTGTGGTCACGTGATCACCATTTGAGACCTTCACTGCTGGCTTCCAACAAGCAAAGTCAATGGGGAAGCCAGCAGGAGGCTGCAAATGGCAATTACATCATCGCGAGATGCTGCAACTACATGGGATTCACCTAACAATGGCAACTGGGACTGCTGCAATTGCCACTGTAAGCTGATGTGGTCACATGACATCACACTTTATGACCGTGTCGCTTAGCGATGGAGTTGCTGTTCCCAATTACTATTGTTAAGCAAGAACTACCTATATATATATATATGTAGGTAATATGTATATAATATATATATATTAGGGCTGTTCAGCAATCGAGTTGAAGACGAAAAGTTGATTCAGAGCACATAGAGGTGCTTATGTCATACCTGGCAGCAATTCTTTCAAAAAGCTGTGTCTTTTCCTGTGCTCACTTGGCTTGCCTGCACTCCTAAGCACCCTTCAATTTCAGATCACAGCACAGGCATAATACACTTTTAGTTACTATAAAGTATGAATGGAGTAAATCAATAAATCATGGTTGCTTTTAAGCAGTAAACCACAGTTTGAAATTAAAGTTTGTGTTGTACTACTGATTACAACATAATGCAAATATGGACATTTTTTTGTGGTTTCTTGACTTAACTATCATTTGTTTTTGTATTTTGCTGAATCTTCACAGAATTGCAAGGCATAGAAAAGTACAAGAAATAAACCAGAACTGGTCAAGTAAATCACAATTATAGTACAGTGGTACCTCGGGTTACGAACTTAATCCGTTCCGTGACTCCGGTCGCAACCCGAATTGGTCGCAACCCGAAGGAAATTATTTTCTTTGGAGCCATGCTGACAGGCACACCAAAAACCCTCCAAAACGCCACAAAACACACCACAAGCCTCACCAAACGTCTCCTTGCTACTGCGATCTCACCCACAGGAAGCCGTGACCGCGTGGCAGCAGGGAAAATAGCCGCAGATCCGGTTCGTAACCCGAGGCGGAGTTCGCAAACCGAGGTAAATTTTTGCAGCCGGAGCTGGTCATAACCCGAAAAGGTCATTAACAGAGGCGTTCGTAACCCGAGGTACCACTGTATTTAGGAAACAAGAAAGCAAAGCTTACCTTGCAGCCTCGCCACCACATTTGTCTTCTGAGCTGTTTGGATCGATTACTAAAAGCTGTTGCATTATCCGATAAGCTTTCTGTACCAGATAAAAAGACAGAGAAACTGAACAGTCCACAATACTGGTAAGATAAAGCTATTGTCTCTATCCTGATTTTTTTAAAAAAGGAAGACCCAATCAAGGATCTTATACAGATACAGTGAATTCTACATTTCTTTCCTTACAGGGAACCTATGCAAAACAGCCAAACCTTATACAGGTAGTCCTTGCTTAACATCCACTCGTTCAGTGACCGTTCAAAGTTACAACAGTGCTGATGAGGGAGACTTACAACAGGTCCTCATAGTTGCGGCCATCAGTGTCCCTGCAGTCACATGACTGCGATTCAGGTGCTTGGTGACCGGCTTGCAATTACAACATCACAGCGTCCCACAGTCACGTGATCGCCATTTGGAACCTTCACTGCCAACTTCTGACAAGCCAAGTCAATGGGGAAGCCAGCAGGAGATTGCAAATGGCAATCACATGACCATGGGACGCTGCAACCGTGTGGGATTCGCCTAACAGCAACTAGGATTACGGAACTGCCGTCGTAAGTCGGTCTAGTCACATGATGTTGCATATTATGACTGTGTTGCCTAGTGATAGAGTTCCTGGTCCCAATTACCATCCATCTACCATAGCATCTTACACAAGATGTAATTACCATACCAATTACCATACCATCTACACAACAGGTAGTCTGTGTTACTAAAGACGCTCCTTTCTAGATCATTAATTCTGTAAATATGTTTGGAAATGGAGGCAAAGTTATTTAGGAGAACTTCTGAGTTAAGAAACATTGCTATCTATATAATGGGTTGTTACCTATTGGTAGTTATTGTGGATGATTTTAATCTATTCCATTTTTATTTTTCAATTTCAATTTTTACTATTATTGTACCATGAATGTTTTAGTGTATTTGATGATACTACAAGCCACCAAGAGTACTTTGATTGCTATGGATGGGAATGTAATAAATAAAGGGGATCATCTGTTGCATCCCAATAGTAAAAGGCATAATCAAGGTAGTAAATATCATGATGCCCTCTAGCATGCTGTAATCTGCAACTATAAGGGAGAGCTAACAAACAAAAGAAATGATCCATCTGTAGCACAGCAAGGATGGGAGGTCTATTCCATCAACTCAGCCATCTGACTAGCTGTTTTTGGCTCTCTATATCCCACTGCAGCAGCCATTCCATCAGGCTACCTGAAGCCCCTCTATACCACTATTTTTTATAAATTTTGTAACAAACTGCATTACATATTTTATATAGTACAAGTCTGAAGGCAAAGACTACCTTTTTATAGGTCTGTGAAATACTCCAAGAGGCTTTTTGCTTGGAGAGTGTGGTAAAAATATTAAGGGAGAAAATACTCTGAGCCGTAAAATCAAGAAAAGGTACACATGTTCACTTCTTCCATGAACAAGCTAGGAGCTCTAAAACAGACAGAACAGTATCACTGTTATATACACAGACCCCATGCATGCAATAGGTAACCTAAGAAGTATGAACAGGTAATGAAGACCAAGTATGCTGAGAACAGATAATAGGAGATATACAGTGTTCCTGGAACTCTGATTCACCTTCTGAAAGGGAAGAGGAAAAGTACTTACCTGACTTATCCTGCAAGTCATCCAGTCGCTCTCCTCTCTCTATCACCTTGGTGATATTTTCTTGCATGACATCAATAACTTCATCAACCTGGTTTTGAACCCTGGTTAAAAAATACAAATACGGATGCATCACATGATCAAGGAATTTATCACCAGTACCAGCAAATGCTACTGACTGATAACCTGCATATGTAGTCTAGATGGTGAGTGGGAATGATGGGAATTGTAGCCCAACTTATTCAAACAGCTCTGAGTCTGGATTTAGTGTGGTGTAGTTAACATCAAATATATGTTAGTGAGCAAAGACTTTACATTCTTTATAACACTGTTAAAGAATGTACTGTAAATAGTGAAATCTCAATTTGTTTTTCAAATAGGCATCTGAATTGATAATTATCTGCCCAAGCCCCAAAGTGAATCACGGCTAAGGCAGAATTTGAATTGAAGCAGTATTTCACATATTCTGGCATCTTTGTAGATAAGAATAAGAATCTTGAATTATGTCTAGAAACATATTAGCAAACAGAACAGTTGCTGCAAAGCTAATATACATTGATCTACAAAGAGCATCAATAACTAAACTAGCTGCTATATTTTGTATTAGCTATAGGTCAAACATTTTTAAAAGCAGCTCAGCACAGCATATTGCAACAATCTAAATAGAGTATACTGTGGCCAAATTTGCCTTTTCTAGGAAGATACATAGAAATCATGATGTGCTCTTTAAAAGCAAAGAGAGTAGATGGATGCAACATATGGGAACCCTACAATATCTTCCCTCCCTCATCTCTGGCTGCTAAAAAACACTACCAAATACCTGCTGCCCCATCTAAGAACGTTAGCAGGTAGAAAAGTCTAAGAAAGGAAAAAGGAAAAAAAACTTGAAAGCTAATGTGCTTTTTGATGGGAGGCAGAACCAAGACTGAGCTAAGAGACGCTTTCCCTTTAAGAAAGGTAAACATTTCATAAAATACAATAAAGAGATAACTTGTCCTTCCATGACTGACCAAGAGCAACTGGCAAAGAATCAGTCAAAGCTGGATAAAGTGCTTCTGGCAACCACATCCCTGTGCCTACCCAGAGACAATGCCAGATCCAGAAGCACCCCAACCTCTTAATTACTCCTTAAGAGGATATGCAACTCCATCCAAAACAAACAATAGCTCTAGATTAAAGAAACTAATGACTATGCTGCCCTGATTTGGTCTTCTCCAGATGAAGACTCAGTTCAATAATTCACATTTACTCCATCGGTGCATCTACCATTCAGGACTTCTAGAGCACACTTGGCACCAATCTGAAAGAAATACTGAGCTGGGAATCATCAACAAGTGATGAAATCCAGTTCTTCATATGACTTCTGCCAGCCAGGTTAGAACTAAGCCAAAATGTCACACTTCAAACTAGTATTCTAGTGACTAGTAAATCAGATTCCAGATTGAAATAGGCTGTTTCCTGCATACCAATTTATCTCTTCAAATACAGCAATGATTATAACAGGCAAAGGAAATGGCTGCACACTCTATTAATTAGTAACATAATTGGACATTACTTCATATCCTGTGTTCCTCATTGCATGAAGCTGTGGTAGCAATCAGTATCACATCTTCTATTGGCACTACAAGGGAGACTCTTAGCAAGTTGAAGAAAAGAATAAAACTAAAGCAGAAAATAAGATGAGAACATACTTGTCCTCTAATAGCAGTGATATGGGACTACATGATAGTATCCTACTTCCTTTACCTTTTCTGAGTGAGTGAGTGTACTGTGAGTGAAGGGATGAAATAATATGCAACATATTACTATGCATTTGGAACAGTCCAAGAATTACAGGCCGGCCCTGACTTTCTACTCTTCTAAAGCACTCTATGCATGGTTCCTGCACTATCTCTCAGGCTGCTTGTGAGGCCCAATCTTAGCTTTAGCAATAATCCTGTATCATGCAATTGGGACTTCAAGAGCACTACAATAGATGGAAAGGGATGAATCAGCAAAAAATGTATCCCTGATGGAACGTATATGAGCCTCACAATCTGGGAATAATACTGAGCCTGAGGACTGATTTCTACCCATCTTCCAGATCAAATTCCAAATAAAGTAGCAGTAGTAACAAGCTACACTGAGAAAATGGATAGAATATAGACCACTGCTCCTGTCTTTTTAGCAATTACATCATCTTGCAAAAATATATACCTCTATGCCACATCAATTGCATCTCTTAAAAGTGGTAGTTGTCTCTTACGTTAGTCATTATTAGATTTGATTTCTTAGATTTATAACCCACTTTCCTCCAGGAGCTTTAGGTAATATCCCCCTCCCTATCTTTCCCAACAACCCTGTAGGATATGTTGGATTAGGCTGAGAGCTGGTCATAGGCTTGAAGTCACCCAATAAGCTCTTGTGCAATGAATGTGTCATAGTTCTTTAATAAATTACTATTTTTCAGAACTTGGCAGAGTTTGGGGTTACTAGATTGTTCTTAAGAACCCATGGTGTGAGATCACAAGATTCTCATACTGTTTTTATAAAAATGTAATGCACTTGTATATATAGAAACACACTATAGTCTTATCTAGTTTGCTCCTAACAGAGGCATCATTTTTTAATAGAAATCTTCCCCACTAATGTTGATATGGCAGAGTTAGGGAAGTTCCACAGACCAATGGCTTCACCCTCCCTAAACTCTCAAAAGTATTTTCAGGTACTCACTACCACAATCCTCATAATGCTCCATACTTCCCATGAGGCAGTCAAAAAATTTTCTAGCCAACCAATGAAGGAGCATAAAAATCACCTTGTTCCCATGCTTTTGCCTTACCCATTTTTTTTAAGGAAAGTAACCACCTCTCTTAGCAGTTTAAGAAGTCCAGTGAAAGGGGAACTAGGCACCCTGGGTCCTGGTCTCCTGCACTTTAATAAGAGTAATGAAATTGTTTCAAGGTAATGCCTTGAGGTCAACAGGGAAAAGGGAGAACTAAAAAGGTGGGTGCACTGAGAGTTTCTGAATGGTTTACTATATCCATGTCACTTCATCCCTTCTAATCCCTCTCTAGAACTGGATAATAACAATTGACCTTGCCTACTTCAGTGATGTCATCAAGTTGCTACTATACCCCTGTGCCCCTTTTAGTCCACAGAAACCCAAATCTGTGTGCTCTCCAGCTATAAAATGGTTGCCCATACCTGATACATGTAAAAACAAATATATAGCTTTCATTTAGATGGAAGCTGTTAAAAAAAGAAAGCAAAGAAAGGCAGTACAGGTAGTCTTTGTTCAGTGACTGCCTCATTTAGCAACTGTTCAAGTTACAATAGTGATAAAAAAGTAACTTTGCAACCAATCCTCACATTTACAACCTTTGCAGGTCTGTAAAGCAAAGGAAAGCTGAAGTAAGTTCATAAACACAGTTGCAGTTTCACTTAGTAACCACTTCACTTAACAACCAAGTTGCTGGTCCCAACTGTGGTCACTTAAATGAGGACTACCTGTATTTCTATAGGACTGCTGATTCTGTCCTGGGCTACAGTGGATATATATATGATGCTGGCTTCAAATAAATAAAGTGATTTGTTGTATAATGAAGGAGAAGGCTGGTTTTTCTAATCCCCAACAAAAGGAACTATTGACTAGGACTTCTCCAAGCACACAGCATAAATTTCTCTAAGTAATAAATTTCTCACAATTTGTAAGTTACTTTACCAATGGTACTTTTAATTTATTCTTTTCCCTACCACTTTGAATCTATTTATTTCTATTCTCCTGTGAAATTACATGGTGACAAGAATGTATGCAAATGATAGAAGAGGGATGTTTGTCTAAAAAAGAAACAAAATTTTAAAATGTTAAAATACTGCAAGAAATGTTACCTTTCTAAAGTACACTGTTCATTATTTTATGAACAGGCTTAGCTGTAGTCTTCAAAACAGTAATTCAATTCACTTGCTATAAAAAAGTGTGACCATAGGATGGTTATATTAGCTGGACACGCAAATTAAACAAAAATGGGTTTCAAATGCCACAAAGTACTTACTGTCTGATCTTGTCATTCTTGGGGCCAAACCTTGGACCTGATGGCCCTCTCCTAAAAAATGATTAAAGAAGTTAAGTTGCTATCTTTATCTCCCAGGATGAATGGCAAATCATATTGCTGATTAACAGACAAATGTTTGGAATCTGAAAGCATTACATGTTCCGAAGAAATAGCCCACTCCTGGAAGCTGCATAAAGACGTCTGGCAGGGTTTTCAACCTTAGACTGAAGAGTTTATAATAGCTGTTACTGACAAAGAACCCTATTGAATTGTGCAATGTTTTGTCTAGTCTTTAAAGGAAACCCTTGAGATCAAAGCATACAGATCAAAGCACACAGAACAGGCAGGAATAATGCTGCATGAGACCTAGGATTTGATACAGTTACCCCTGCTCTGGTCTTGGAGACACTTACAAGAAAAAATCCTCTTCTTCATCTGAATCTTCTTCTAGGAGGTTTCTCTGCAAACACAGAAGATGGGTACATCTTTGAAATAAAGGTTACCATTAGGCCCTCTTTTTGAATAGATCGTATATATTTGCAAATAAGCCCATCCACAGATAAGCTGACCCTCCAATTTTTAACCAAAATACAATGAAAAATGTGCCTCCCACAGATAAGCTGACTAGTAATTTTCATGTTATTTTAGTTAAAAATTCGAGGTCGGCCTGTCCGTGGATGGACTTATAAGTGAGTCCCTTATTTATAGGAAATACAGGTACTTTTAAAAAGTACATACCCACGGATAAGCCCATCCGTGGATAAGCCAAACCTGATTTTTTGGGTATATTTTGGCACCTAAAATCCTTGGCCTATCCATGAGTATATACGGTACTCTGAAAAATTGCTTTGAAAAGTAAAAAAAATTAATAGTGCCAATCTCGGTTTTGTCAAATACCTTGTAAAGTTTTGTTTTCAAGATTTAAAATAATATACAATATCTGTTTCACTGCTTGTGCTTCTTAATATTTCTAGTTAGCTTTGCCAGAATTTCAACCTTTTCCCCCATGACCTTTAAAAAAGAAATGAAATTCCTTGGGGGTGGGGGGGAAAAACAAGCCATCCAGCACTGTCAACAGTTCTCTCAATCTAACTACAAAATGTATACAATTCCCATAATACTGTCTCATATTAAAGTGAACAGAGACTGATCTCATTATTTAACCACTGGAGGATTGAAAGGACCCTACAGGTCATGTACCAACAAGACCATGATTGCAAAAAGGAAGATATTTGGGCTTCAACAGTTTGAGAAACAACAGCTGCAGGGAGTAGACTAGCTTTTTCTCTTTACTCTCCCTCCCCCACAATGGTTGCCAGATACTGAATGTTGAGAGGCTGTAGTAGACTACACTTGGCAAATCACTGCTTTAGACTTTTAACAGATCTTAATATTCTTTTGAAAAGTTCAGACTGAGTTACATAGTAATACTATCCTGTGTATTAAAACTAAGGATGGGGATCTGTAGACCCTTCAGATGTTTCTGAAGTATAATGCCTGTATCCCTCATTATTGATAGTTCACCAACATCTTCAAAATCATAGGTTCACCAGTCCTGAACTTGATAAAGGGCTGCTTATTTTAAATATCATATGACTCCTAGCAATTATGTTCTGAATGAATTAGACTTGCAGAAGTCCTTCTAACTCCATAATTACAGCCATTTCATTGGCAGATCAGTACATTGAAATCATAGCATGATAACTATCCACCTATGTACTCACCCTCTCACTTTTGACTGACCCAGTAACATCATCATCGTTAAGATGGCGCTTGAATTTTGGAGGCATATTTTCATACAAGTGTTATTTTTTTGTCCTAATAGGAAAAAAGAGGACATTCTAGTCATTCTGTCAGGTTTTAGTTCTCAGTCAAATTGCAAGGACTTAATGACTGGCCACAGTAATACCTGCATAACACTCCAAATACAAATTGTTACATGGAAAATAATATGAGGCCAGGGAATCTCCAGTATAGTTTAAAGTACCGTTTTATAATTCATGAGTGGATTATTTTATATTTAAACCTCTGCAGAAATATTGTTCAAATCAAGGAACAATTTTTTAGATTGTAAAATATATCCCTCTTCTAGCAAGATAATGAGTATTAATTAAATCCCCATCAGTTCCTAAAGCCTTCTATGTATGCACAAGAAGTTTTTGATAAAAGATAAAGATTTTAAAATGTCACTATTATTAGTTTGGATCATATGACTGGAAGAGATGTAAAGGTGATTTTAAAATAATTTCTTCTATCCTACTAATAAGATCATGTGCAGCAATTCTTTAATCAGCAACACTTTTGAAGAGCTGGTTAGGGGAAAAAAAGTTGGTTTTCCATATACTGTTTAAAACCTGAAACTGAAACCTTTTTCAATCCAACGCTAGTTCCAGCTATGTTTTTCTATACCCCCAAATTAAACACTTGAGCTAGGACTGTATTTCTGGATCAGATCAATTATTCAATAGATTTCATTTTCAAGAATAGTCAGATGCTTTAAAAAAATTCACAAAGCCTGAAAGTTACACTCTTCTTGCTGATACTCCCTCAGCAGCTCACGTTCACAAGAATATAGCAATGCAACTATTTCAAATGTCACCCAAAACACTGATCATGTATCTAAATACAACTCACAAAAGATAAAATATCATGAACCATTATATTATTACCATCTACAGTGTCTTGGATTCTTGAATAGATTCAGTAAAAAGACAGCACTGTAATTTGCTCAATTACAGGTGTCTCAAAGTTGAAAAGAATATTGAAATATACTGCATGCATTTGTGACCTACACTAGCCAGACTCAGGGTAACTTGAGGACAAATCCATTTGTCAATCTGAACCTTAAGTAGCTTCAAGAATTCCATCTTCCTTAATTTGCATTACTAACATGGAATGTAGCCTCACTGCTTAATCTGCATTTCATCTTCATTACACACAGTTTTATCATTCTTCTATACATAAGTACCCATTCCTATGTCTTTTACATACATTTCTATCCCAACCTATCTCTTTAACACTTCTTTGTATAGCTTCCTTCCCCCTCCCCTCAAGCTCAGTATCCCATCCAGAGGACTTTTAAATAATTAAATAATTGCTCCTGTATATCCCCTTTTCTTCATCTCCCCCTACTTCTCCAGAGGACCTCCTACAAATTTTCCCACTTCGTTTTCCAACGACAGATTCCATTGAACATACCTTATGCCATCCTGCTTTGCCTTCCAGCCTTCCACATTCTTTATTATTTTGTTTCACCCCAACTCAAGTCCTCCCGTTTGCTCAAAAGTGTCCTTCCCCTTCCTAACATCCAACTTCCAACATCCTTAATTATCTATTTCCTTTCCCAAAGAGGATGCCTTCGGACTAACCTCCCATTTTCCTAACTAACCAGCTTTTGACAAAAACACTGTTTTGCTATTTTGGATAACTATCGGATGATTCCAGACCTTTTGTAGCAGAAGCTAAAAGGGAAGCAGTCCTTAAACCGATCCTCCTATGTTCCTCTCCTCCATATTCCAACCTCTCTCACGCACGCATCTATTCACACGGTCCTCCTCTTCGGGGGTCTTAATTCTCCAGCTGTCCACGCCGCTCTTCCACAAGCCCACACACAAGACACTCTTCCTCTCTGGACTGCGCAGTCTGCCAGCTTCTTTCCCTAATGGCCATTTCACCTCCCCTGCCTCGCCCCCGGGATACTTGCTTTCTCCCCTTCGCCATTCTCCCGGATCCACTTTCCCACGATCCAGCACCCACCAAACTCGAGGTCCCCCTCTTATTACCCGCTCCCTCTCCCCGCGCGTCTTTGTTTCTTCCCTCACCTGTTTCCTTTCAGGCCGGTGCGGAAATGGCCGGTCCGAGGAAGAGGAGGAGCTGTCGTCAGCTGTTGCTCCATCGATCACTCGGCGCGCCTAGTAAGGGGTGGAGCCGAGTGCCCAGGATATCGATAAAGACGGTTACCGCTCTACTGACGTGGACCCTGTCAGCTACCGTAGTAGCGAATCTCGCCTGCTAGGTGGCGGGAACAGGCAGAGCCGAAGCAGGCGTTTCTTTAGAAGGAAGCGGAGTCGGTTCTCAGAGAAAGTGAGGTTGGGAATACGGAGTGATTCTCCTTTAGTCTGTAGTCTTCCTTCTGACCAATTGAAATGGCCGCGTCTGTGCATGGTACAGATGTCTTTATTGAGAGTGAATGGGTTTACTTATCACGTTAAGCCAGGTTTGCTGAACCAGCCATAATTGGCTTGGTTCACGTGACGTGTTAAACTGTATTTCTACAGTGGCTGGATTCAGAGAATTTGGTAAACCAAAACTACATAAAATACATTTTGATGTAGTGCAGTATATGAACTCAGGTGTGTGGTTTCACTTGTATACTGGCCAGTATTTACTGGGTGAACCCAATGTATCTGGAAGACATCTACTTGGGAATGGTAGATAAGATTGTGTTCTCCCAAAGACACTTCTGGAATTCAGTGGGTTAGACTCCACCAACTAAGCACTGATGCCTGGAGATCAGATCAGACTGTCCACTCATTTCACAGACATTGTTTTCCTTTTATTCAGGTTTTCTTTGTCACAAAATGTGCCTCTTCTTCATACTACCTATTCTGTTTGCAGCATTATAATGGCTGAAAACAATGTTCCTGCTTTGGAACAAGGAATACTATCAAAGTGTAAAAAAAATAATGATCACATTTTTTTTTTTTTTGTCTGCGCTCAGTCATTGCTGACCCTGCAGTGACTGCTTGGAC